ACAATAGAAAACCAACATCCTTTCTGATTAGAAGTCTTCAAGCATAAAGTTTCAAGAAATACTCTCCTGGAAGTGCCTTTAAATGTTCTTGGACATCAACTATTCCATTGGAAATTAAACAGTTTAATTGACTACAGGTGGTAAGAAATAGAAATCCATAAGGGGCTTGGGTTTTAAGTTCACTGAGATAATTTTTTCAATGATAGTTAGAATAGATGATAGCTTTCTTTTTCTTTTCTCTTTATCAAAAAATTTCTTTTTTATTTCTTTTTCCCCTTGTGTAGTTCCTACAAGAGAAGGGTGACACAATTTGGATTTATAGTTATAACTGTGAAGGTGATCTGCAGGTGCTGATCCTATTAGAAATTTAGAATCTTAATTCCATCTTTTAGGAGAATAATATATCACCCTCATAAATTGCATCTAGAGGCTTTGGTTAAAGATGGGTGAGTTGGGTTGGGGAAATTTGTACTTTGCATATATTCTTGTGCATGTAATAGTTCTTTATAATTTAATAAATAAATGACACTAATCTGATTGTGGGATAAAAAATAAATAAATAAATAAAAAATTCAGAATCAAATTAAGATAAATAAAATTTTTCAAAAAAATTTAAAAAAAATTTATATATTTGAAATATAAAAAAGAAATTTAAAAGATAATAGATAGTTTTAAAAATCTATATCAACTTTTCTAAAGTCTTAAATTTTAAAAATAAAAGAAAAAATATATTTTTTTTTAGATTTTTTTTTTAATAAAATATTCTTATTTTTAACTTTATAGCTAGATTTTTCTTATGTTTATTTATATATTTATGAGAAATTTATATAAAAAAAAAAAAAAAAAAACAAGTAAAAAAAAATTAGAATTTTTAAATAATAATATATATTTTTTTAAAAAGTTAAATAATATTAAATATAAATCTTTATTAATATATAATTTATATATTATATTAAATATCCTTTGTAATGTATAACTATAACTAAATACTAGCCTATTAATTTGTATATCAAATACTTAGAAACCTATTATATATTGTTATATTGTTGATATTTACTATATATAGTAATATAATTTTCAATTAAATACAATTTATTATATTTTTAATAGTAATATAATTTTTGAAAAATGTTGAATTTAATTTTATCACATGTATAAAACCTATTACTTGATGATTTTTCTTCATAATACCAAAGGGTTATAAAAAGTAAAATAGAAATTCTATTACTAATTTTAATCTATTTTGAATAGTAATGTTTTTTTTTTTTTGAAAAGAGCAAATGGCTATTATACTTTATTATATTTATTATATTTTTATTTGCAAAACAAGATATAATATCAATAGCATGATATACATTTTTTTTGTTAGGAAGAGTTTAATGCAAGGCTCTTATAAAAAACTCAACTCTTGTATTCTTTTGGTACTATTCAAGAAATATAAAAAAAAAAAATTCAAAAATTTATATTATTGCTTTGAATGGTGTTTAGCTATTTAGAAATAAATAAATATCTAATCACATGAAGATACTGCAACTAATTTATACAGGCTGATCTCCAAGTCATAATTAGGATTAGTATACTTGTTTTTCAAATATGGCTTGATGTATAGCAAGCGGAGTAGTATTGAAGATGATGGGAAATGAATATCTTTTTGCATGAAGATGTTACAACCACTTTATACAGATTTGCTTTCAAGTCACAAAAAAAAATTGGCATATTTATGCTTCAAGTGTGGTGGAAATGTTCTATATGTGGATTTGAATAGTAATATATTAAGAAAAGTATTTAGATTTTATTATAAAAAAATATAAAAATTCTTTAAAATATCTGTTTTTTGAATTGATAAGAGAATTAATTAAAAAGTTATTATTTATTTATTTTTATTTTTTATATCTTTAAATAAATAAATATATACAGTATACATTTTATTATAATTATTTAATTATTTATTAATTATCAATAAAATTTTTTTTTTAATTTTTAAGTTTTTTTTTTATCCCATATTATATATTATATCTTACTATTAATTATATAACATATATTATTTACCTTATTAATAAAGATTATTAGATGTATTTCACTTTAACATTAAAAAAAAATACAATTAATAACAAATAAAAATTCTTTTGTTTTTATTGACTATCAAATTTTTAAATTTTTTTTAGAATTTAATAGCAACACAAAATATAAATATCAATTCAAAAAATTTTTTATAAAACTTTAAATTTAAAATAAAAAAATTAATTATAAAAATTAATTTTAATTTTTTATTAATTATAATTAGAAATATTTTAACTATTATTTGAATTAACTCGTTATAATTTAATTTTTAACATGTCTTTCAATATAATTTAAACAAAGTTTATAAAATTCATTCAAATTTAATTTAAGTTTTTAATAACTGCCACTATATATTCATTATCTTTCGAGGAAAGATTTTCATTCAATTCCGCATCAATTTTAGATGCAATTTCCTTTATTTCTCTTTCGTGTTTTTTAAAAATAGTTTTCTCGATCTCAGGTGGATTGTTCTACATTTGATTATCAAGTAGACACTTATCTATGGTATAGTTAGCAATGATACCACTTCAAGCAATCTGCATCGGTCCACTAACCCAAATCTGTGTATACCGGCACCTGACCAATCCATGGCATAAAAGATCAATACTAAACCTATATACAGAAATGGAGGTTAATAGCAAATAAATCCAACCTACATAGATAATGTTAACAAAACTTACCGAACTGAAGCCACCCACATATAATTAAATTTGTACGTTTTCAAATGTCACGTGATTACATTCTCTTAGAAGAACTTTCTCCAGTTAAGTCTAGAATTCCTCAATATGCGAGACTATTGGATGGAAATGATAAAACGTATCAGTAATCACACCATTATTAAGAAAATAATAAACGACATAAAACATACGTGAAAACCCTACGGCTTTTTGGAATAGTTTTTTGATATTCGTAAAAAGATTCAACAATGCCTGCATCAATATTTTTTCGTTGATCCTAGAGGGTAATATAATAAGCTTACTGAAAAAAATATATTTCCAATATTAAACATTAAATTTTACCATTGAGACGCTATTACCGCTAATTTGTGGCAATATATTCTCTTGCCCAAGTACTTTTTCATCAATACATTCCACAAGAGCATCTTCGTTGATTCATCAAATAATAACGACAATCATTCCTAATCTGACCCTCATCTCTTTTCTTTTCAAATTATCTTTACAGGCCGACTTTCTATTCTCTTGAGGTTCTTTAACCTTTCCGAACTAGTGCCTTTAGAATAGGCATTAGCAACATTGTCATTTCTTATCTATTTACGGAAAAATTATTTAAATACCTAATCTTTTTGATTACATTTTTGTTATAAGTGCAATAAAAATTCGTTCATTTTGTAACTTACATTAAGAGGCTTTGATTTTAATGCGTAATTTTCCATAACGATAAGTACATGGTTTGCGGCACTTCGTTTTTCAATAATATTTGTAAGTAACCTTGATTTCGTGTATCTTTTGTCGCGTCTAGAACAGTTAAAAACTAAAATGGATGTTTTAGTGGCAGGTCAAGGCAAGGTTCAGGAATTAAAATTCTAACCTCTTCGAGAAAAATCAAATTCTTCAGTTACTTCTATTCCAGATCCATCCAATATTGTTTCACTGCCACTGATGAGTAGCTACTTATAAATCATTTTGGAAAATATGTTGCACCAAAGGGACACACGCAACACGGAGGTTAGGAGGTAGCGTGAAACCCCCCATTGACACAGGTCGAACAAAATAGCTCCCTCGACGACACAGATCGTTTTGCAAACAGGAATATGCTTAGCTATAGTATAATAATTTCATTGATGTATAAACACGTCACATCAAGATTAACTATAAAAAAATAAATAAGTTAATAACGTGCGTTATTAAGCAAGTTTGAGACAAACCACCCACGGTTCCTATTTCAAGAAAGTTAAGTAGGAGCCGACTCAAACCAAAGCCTCATGTGATCGAACTAGGGTCCTCCAGATTCTGCTAATACAACTTACACACATTGTAACACGTATAGTAGGATAGCACCGCGTCAGTCGGAGATCCCCCTTTCACCATAGCTTAAACACATAGAACTTTGAATAGTATACTATCTCGGTCTATCCAATTTAGCTCAACCTATCCTTGGTAATCTATGCATAATAAGAATGGCGAAATATAATGGCAATACAAAGTTCTACAGTGACCTACACGCGTACCGTGGGTGATAGGAAGATAGCATACTACCATTGTTCCCTTAGTTTCAGTTACAAGAGAAGTGGCGAGTATTCGATTCCAATTCAGCAACAAGAATAGCTGTCTTCGACTGCCTTTATTACCTATCAACTTACTAGAAGGCGGAATTAAGAATAGTTCTATTAAACTTAAACTTACTTATTAACCCTCTTGTGCTCATTTATCATATGATGCTATCAAATGTACTGTTAACTCGTTGCAAGTTATACGGTATTATCAACTCGGTGTTTTCATGTTGCGCGTCGTTAATGGTATTGTAAAAAAAAATTTTTTTTAACGAACCAAATCATCTTATATATTAAAAAAGTTCCCATGGAAAAAGCTCCCATGATATCATTCTTAGTGCATCAAACCTAAATACATAAAATAAAGCACACGTTCTAATTTGAAACCAATACGCGTTAAATTACGTCATTTTATTTCGCGTTTGTGTGACTGTATGCTTATGAAATAATGGATTTTTTTTTATTTGCCATTATTTTATTTCAAGTGATTATATGTGCAGACATCCAGCATTTAAGTTATTTATGAATTATTCAAGATAATAATAATTAATAAAAATAAAATGTAACTATGAAAATCCATTCAGAAAATTTTTTTAATAAATTATTAATGTTTAAAAAATCACAATTCTTTTATTAAAATTACAAATATTTTAAAATTCAATAATAAATATGCAGTTCTGATCAAAAAAAATCGAAATTAAATCTTTATATATTTTTATTATTAATTCAATAAAAAGTTAATAAATAAGATAAATTTTTAAATATAAATTTTTGAAAATATAAAAAATAAATTTATTTAAAATATATATATATTTTTTTAGGTAAACATCATTACTTTATTTATCATAAAATTATTTGAAATTTATACATGAAGAAAGTGACAACATCTCTTATATAACTTGTTAAGCTAATAAGTTTAATGCTAGCTTGCCTACAGAAACTATCTAAGTGATATGGAAAATAAATATTAAAACCAATATACATTCTAAATAGTGCCAAGCAGCTATGAATATCTACTCAGGTTTATATGTAAAACTATAAGAAATTGAAAATTGAAAAAAAAATACTGAACAAAAACAAAAAAAATAAATGCAAAAATGCTAATTGTGAAGTTATAAATGTCACTAGGTGCACCACACTGGTAATTCCATTTAATTGAAGTATTGTTGTACTTCCAAAAATAGCCAGGCTATTGTCCAAATATATAATAATATTGATAGTATATCTTTTTGGTAAATGATTAGTTGTGGTAATAGTATTGTTGTTATGATGATGTGAATTATAATTGGTTTGTTTATTAATGATGTAATTTTGTTTTGGTTGTTGTCTCCATAAAAGGTTTTGTTTACGTCAATCAAAGTATAGTGTTTTAGTTGTACAGATTTGTTTGGAAAGTTGATAGTGTTTGATTGGTTGAGTTTGGAATATTAATCAATTGACAAGAGTAAACTGATTGTGGTTTTTTAATATGAAATTTTTTGAGTAAAATTTTTTGGTTTTTGGTGATGCAGCAAAATATGCTAGGTGATAGTGAGAAGTAAACATTGAATATATTGCTGGTGCTCCAAGTTAACAATATAAACAATTTTGATGTAAAGTCTGATTTTTTGAGATAAAAAGAAGTCCTTCAAGCAAAAAGTATGGTTATTTAAAAAAATTTGTGTATTAAAAAGAAAAGAAATGGGAAGAACCCCAAGAATGACATCAGGAAATTTTTTGAGCGGAGGAACTCTGCATATCTCTGCCATCGTTAGAGATCTCTGGAGAATCAAAAAAAT